CTGCCTCACAAATGTATTAAATATGTACTGGTTGACCAACTTGGACTGTGGCTGGCATGCCTTCCTAAACAAAGGACAACAGAATTATGATCTCACCTAGTATAAGAGACTAGAATTACTGGAGCATACACTGAAACTGTTCTATCTGTCTTGTTCACAGTATTTCATTCTAGTGTCCAACAATCATAAAGGCCCAGTGCAGTCAGAAACGTTATTCTCCTGTGTTTTATATTTATTTCCACACTATGAGGTTGAAATAATACTGTGAAATTGTGAAATTGATGATAATGCCCTTTTGGTGTAAGAGCTGTTTGAAAAGACTGCCTGAAATTTTAGCTTGTTTTGGTGGGATGGAGTTTTGGCCTTGACTGGTGACATCACCAGGCAGTGAATTAGCTAATAGACCAATAAGAAAGAGCGCTACAAACTTCTCTGCCAATAACAACTAGTTTTCAGTTTTCCCTTCCACACTCAGACCACACCCAGACAGTCCTAACAAAATTCTTGCTTGAGAAACTGCTCTTGCTAAGAAGCAATTTTTGTTTCTTTTTGAACATTTTGATTGAAAACAATCACAGTAAGGTACTTAACTGTTACGCAGAAATTATTTGATATTGATATAAAAAAATGGCTGCATTGGGCCTTTAATGGAGTAGAAAAATAAAATAAAACCGCTATGGTCTGAAAACATGTTCTGTTATATGGTATTACTGCCACCAAGTGGATAAAATAGGCTAAATGTTTGCAATTTAGCAGATTTGACATCTATTATGTAGTTTAGTGTAGGACCTGGCTGATTTCAGATAGAAATGTGAGTTATAGATTTGTCACTCTCATTGAAAGCCATTCGTTCAATAGTCCACATTCTTTCTACAGTCCACATAGTGCCATGTTATTGAAGTGTAAGTTATCTCACCCATTTATATAAGTCTATGCTCTTTCTCCACTGAATCATAGCTTTTCTGTCCTTCATGTAACATCATTGATTGATGTACACAGACTGAAAGTACACTGAAACCGATCAATCAAATGCATCTGTGGGATACTTGACAGCAAGTACACGGCTGCGATCTATATTCCTAAACAGTTGACTAACAAGCAACTGAGTCAGTTTGTGACTTTTGTTGACATTAAAAATATGAATATTGTACTGTGTGAGTGGAAAATGACTCAATACTTTAAAGAGAACGGGGAAAACTAAAAATGGTGCTTGATAAATCAGATGAACTGTGTTGAAATCAAAGAAGTCTACACACTGTTTGTGACCAAAAGTGCTGAATTTATTCTTACTGAAAAGAACAGACAGCTTTTCCACTCATAACAGTTTGTTTATTTGTTTTACAAACCATCCTCTACAGATATTGGATCAAAATAATGTAAATCATATCAAAAATGATGCTGTCAATATGCAATTCAGCAAGCTCAGCACAGTCCAAATTAGGTAACACTCACCAGAGAGAAAGTGACTCCATGGATGTTTCTCCTTCTAAAACATGAGATGTTGGGTCCATTTGAACATCCACACGCGAACAAAATAAGAGACAAACATACAGTAAAAGCAATGAGCGCCAGTCTGATCCAGACAGTATTGGCCCATGTGACCTGTCACCAGCTCTGACCCAAATTTACCAGGCAAGCATAAAGGTTCAATAAAACTTTGGTGCAAATGTCCCCCTCCCCCTACATGTTTCCCCATCAGTTCTATATCACAAGGTTGATTCGTTTTGATCTGAGTGGACCAGACCAGGCATTGGAATGCAGAGGCCAAATAAAGGCATGGTCTGATGTCTCCTTGCCATTATACAGACGGGCAGACAGACAGACTAGACAGACAGACAGACAGCCATACAGAAAGACAGCATTGGTCCTGATTGGTAGGCTATCCAGACCAGGGTCAATAAAAAAAAATCATGGGAAGTGTTCTTACTGGTCCCGAAGGGCCACAGTCTGTTTAGGCTTTCGTCTCAGCCTAGTGCTATGAAATTCAACAAACTATCACTTTGATTAGATTGGGTAATGCTTTGCAAAGTCCATGGATGAATTAAGAACACTAGGGGTAGGGGATAGTGGTTGATTTATAATTGAATGTTGCATTGGGCACTGTGAGTTTTTTTTGGCTATCTGATATAGGCTACTGGGGGCAGGGGAAAGTGCATATGCCTACCGCTTTTATAATTACTTTTGTGTGAACCTTGCTTTCATAACCTCCTTTTCTTAGCCATGTGCATTATCAGTTAGGTGGGCTGTGTTGTTTTTTCAACCACTGTATTTCCTCTGTGTTCACCTTTCTAGGTGAGAAAGTTATTTGTGAGACTGCGTTGTAAATCATTATTTTTAAATGGTTTGCGACTATTTTCCGACATGGGAGTATCCCGGAAATAGCTAAGAGCTTGGAGGCGGGGCAGTTCGCATTGCTACGTCTGTTTCATTGCACTGCACAGGATATATTGTGCAGTTTAGGCGAGCAAATAATGGACCAAAGGCCGTTTTCAACATAGTGTAGCTAGCTAGTCACTGTGCAAAATTAGTTGCTAGCTTCCCAGCTGGCTAACTAAATACCGAGACATCACCAAGATCAAGTTACCAAAGACGATAATCATATTTTGTTGTCCATAGTTCACCCCCTCGCGCACACACACATCAACACGGCATTGATGGTAATGCATGCAAGGAAACAACCGAGACTCAGCGATGGGTAAACGAAAATACATTTTATTGCCACCTCTCCTTGACGGCTCCACCACTCCTTTAAAATAATAATGCTGCTAGCTAGCATGTCTAGCTAGTTATAGCTAACTAGGTTTTCGCTAGCTAGCTAATTGTAGTATATCTTTGCAGCGCGAGCAGAGGCTGCATCAACATTTCAGACGTGTGCCCTATAACTTGGCTAACTTTATTTTCCTATATTTCAGGTGCAACGACCGAAGGGATTCACAACCCTATCAGGTAAATAAAGAGTATACAGGCTAATTAGCTAGCTAGGTAGTTAGCAAGTATGTTATCTAGCTAACTACCTGGTTAAAATAGCCACCTAAATAACGTTAGCTAACTTAACTCGTAAGCTTAGTTAGGCAGGCCTCTGCTTGGCCTTGCAACTCACAAGCCATGGCTCAGTTTTGTGCAAAATTACGTTACTGGAGATACGTTGGCCTATATCTAACGTTAGCTATTTACACTAACTAGCTAACTACGTTAATGTGTTTAACAACAACTGATGGTTAACTAGCCAGCGAGCTAACTGCTGACTGTTTTTCCCGTGACGTAGCTAGCTAAAGCTAGATGGCTAACGTTAGATAGCTAGCTAGGTAAGCTAGTCGTTAGCCAACGCTAACTATGTTTACTTTTACGAGAGCTTGACATTTCAGGCCTTGATAGCCAGCTGGATAATTAATGTAGCATAACAATATCGTCTATAACTAACTAAATAGCTAACTTGCTAGCTAGTGTAGCTGGGTAATTATATTATGCTAGCTAACGAGGTAACGTTATCTGGCTAATGTTAGCGCTAAGATAACTATAGGTCGTTATCAATAAAACGTCACAAATGGTGCAGGGCGCTAAAACCATTGACAACTGCATGCCGTTTTCAAGGGATTGTTAAATACATTTGAACTATTTAGTTGTAATAACCCTTTGAAGAGCATAGTCAGAAATACACATTTCCAATTATTCCATGCAAATCAGTTGCGCACATTTAGCTCGAATCCGAGTTATACAGCAAGTAACCGCATGCTTTTCACGATCAGTAAACAACAATTGATAATGTAATTTCAGATACGTGATGGTAGCCTCGAGTCACGATATCTCTCATATATTGGCCACCATTAATTGGATATTTGAGTGATATAAAATAAAAGTGAACGATAGCTGCCTGACAAGCCTTTGTGGGCTCTGTCTGTCAAGCAGCAGAAGGGCACATGTGCCGATGTAGGCCTACTGACGGCTGATAATGTTTATTGTGCAAGCTACCGGTAGAAACGTTGTACAGCTGGCTAAACATAGTGTGGTAAGTAGACCTAGTAGTGTACTTTTTTCTCGTGGTAAGTAGACCTAGTAGTGTACTTTTTTTCTCCAACCAATGTAGGCCTAACGTTACCTAGCGAAGTTAGCGAACGTTATCCCCTTTTCAACATTGTTTTAATCACAATTGTTGACAGACATGATAGGCTATATTGAATGATGGACCACATCAAATTGGCTAGCTAATCACATATCACGTCAATATGGCTAGTTAACAAGCTAACTTTCAGGGGATAAACTAGATGGCTCTATCCAAATATTGTTTTATCTATGGACCGACAGTAGTCTGACAACTTTATCAGGATGAGGAGTTGCCGATTTCCAAAATCATAATCTCTGATGAAGCAAGCTAAATGACACGTTGTTTGTTTATCTAGCTAGCTACATGCCAAATTGATAGGCTACACTCACATATCTGAAAATACATGATCAATTTATGTTAAGCTACTGATCATGAAAAGCATGCAGTTACTTGCTGTATAAATCTTACAGAACTAAATGTGGAAATGTGTAGTTCATGTGACTATGCTCTTCAAGAGGTGATGATATTAAAACTGTAGTTGTCCATAGTTTTAGCGGAGCTCGGGGTCTCCTTGCTCTCCAGCAGCTAAATCAAACGCTCTTCACCTTATTGTGGCGTTTTATTGATAAAGACCTAATAACGAAAGTTAGCTTGCCAGCTACATAGCTTGCTAGTCTGAATACAGCACAAGGATTTACCCACCATAAGATGCTTTATAAAAGTGCAACAATTACAGAACAGTAATGACAAATGCAAACAAAAATAATTGGGGTAATATTAGGGAAGAAAACACATTACAAAAGGTTGTGCATTCATAAGCAGACACGAGAAGTACAGCACAGTGTCAAGAGTGGGAAGTAGGCCTACAGTATGTGTCTGTGGTTGGGAAGTATTCATCCAACAGAAGAGGTGGCTTTGTATTGATATGTTGACTAACACAAGCCTATTTGTATTGCAGACTCACAAATCCCAGCCAAAGAGTCAATCTACCACCCTTCACCGTCACGATAAAATGCGAGATGGGTTATCAGATCCTACACCGCCCTACAAAATGCTCCGGCGCTCTGAAGAAAGTCCGGTCAATAAGTACAGCGATGGGCACAGCAAAACAAAAACATTTCACACACTCCGAGGCAAAGATGGCGGTAAGCCCAAAGAGAACCAAGCTACACACAAATGCAGATGTTGCCTTCTCTGTACGTTTGTCAACAGTACTGTGTGCACAGAGAAGCTTGTACGTTTGTTCAGCCAGATGAAAGAGCTTAACCTGGTCCTAGATCTGTTTGCTGGTTAGCCAATTCCTGTGGTCTTTGTTATGCCAAGCAACCTTTGGAGTTGGCTATATCTGGGACCAGGCAAGAGATATCCTAAATCAAAATAAAGTAATCTGTTATCTTACTGTTCTGCTGCTTAAAATATATACACTGTTGATTGGGCTATTAAAAGCACTTGGACTTCTTCTGCACACACGTTACCTGCTCAAAACATGCATAGATACTCACGTACAACAAGACATAGACCACTAAGGCCCAATTCCTGACTGAAGATATGCACACACGACTGTTGGTCAAGTCCACACAGACATCAATGCAACATTAACATAATAAGTTATGTAGCTGAAGTTCCACAGGTGCTAGTATACCTCCCGGGAGACCCATGGGGCGGCGCACAATTGGCCCAGCGTCGTCCAGGGTAGGGGAGGGAATTGCCTTTTTTATGCACTCACTAACTGTAAGTCGCTCTGGATAAGAGCGTCTGCTAAATGACTAAAATATAATATATGGTACCGTGGGCACCAGTTTTTAGCTAGTTAACTTGTCATTGTCTTGCCAAATGAGCAAGCATTGTAGAATTCCGAAACTGACATGCACCTAGGCGATATTAGTATGATTGTCTTGTGCGAGTATGATTGTCTTGTGTGCTAATGTATACAATTTCGACATACTATACCTGGGTATTTCATAAAATGGATAGCTGCTGTAAATTCCATGGTACTGCAAAAAATATTTTGTTCAATGGATGGGTAGCCTAACCTGTCATGTCTATGATTGCTAATACTATTGTATTTCTCGTAAGTTTTCTTGTAAATGTTCTCATCATATTGTTTCTTTTATAGGTACCAGCTGCTCTCCGCAAGAGAATTCGCACAACCACAGCTCTCAACACAGCTCAAACTCACACTCAAATCAAAACAAGGCGTCAGACACAGTAAGATACTTCTTTCTTCTTGAACAAATTATTTCTGAAAGTAGGCATTCACCAGGCTATGGTTATAATAATACATCATGGGCCCCTGAGCCACAGGACAAACTCATATACAAGTCATAGGCAAGTTCTATAGCTGCGCTATTGAGAGCATCTTGACGCTACAGAGGGTAGTGCGTACGGCCCAGTACATCACTGGGGCCAAGCTCCCTGCCATCCAGGACCTCTATACCAGGCAGTGTCAGAGGAAGGCCCTAAAAATGGTCAGACTCCAGCCACCCAAGTCATAGTGTTCTCTCTGTTACCACATGGCAAGCGATACTGGTGCACCAAGTCTGGAACCAACAGGACCCTGAACAGCTACCCCCAAGCCATAACACTACTAAATAGTTAACCAAATAGCTACCCAGGCTATCTGCATTGACCCCCCCCCCCCCCAAGTTATCGTAACTCATTGTGTATTTATTCCTTGTGCTATTATCTTTCTAGTATTTTTCTATTTTCCTCTCTGCATTGTTGGGATGGGCCAGTAAGTAAGCATTTCACTATTAGTCTACACCTTGTTGTTTATGAAGCAAGTGACGACTAACATTTGATTAGATTTTACGTAGACATTTGAATGTGTAGTCAAATTGTGTACAGTTCAGTTTCGTGTGACAAATGACAATTGGCTCTGTCCGGATGTTGTGCAGAGGATGATTTTGATATGTCGTTCTCTGGTGTTCATCTCCATCAAGAAGTTGATGATGATAATCTGTTGTTTAAGAGGAAATTCTTTCCACAGCTCACCACAGTTATACATACATACACTACCATTCAAAAGTTTGGAGTCACTTAGAAATATCCTTGTTTTCCATGAAAACATACATGAAATGAGTTTGAATAGGAAATATAGCAAAATGCATATGAAAGGTAGTCATTGACAAGGTTAGAAATAATGATTTTTAAATTGAAATAATAATTGTCTTTCAAACTTTGCTTTCGTCAAAGAATCCTCCAATTACAGCCTTGCAGACCTTTGGCATTCTAGTTGTCAATTTGTTGAGGTAATCTGAAGAGATTTCACCCCATGCTTCCTGAAGCACCTCCCACAAGTTGGGTTGGCTTGATGGGCACTTCTTACATACCATACGGTCAAGCTGCTCCCACAACAGCTCAATAGGGTTGAGATCCGGTGACTGTGCTGGCCACTCCATTATAGGCAGAATACCAGCTGACTGCTTCTTCCCTAAATAGTTCTTGCATAGTTTGGAGCTGTGCTTTGGGTCATTGTCCTGTTGTATGAGGAAATTGGCTCCAATCAAGCGCCGCCCACAGGGTATGGCATGGCGTTACAAAATGGAGTGATAGCCTTCCTTCTTCAAAATCCCTTTTACCCTGTACAAATCTCCCACTTTACCACCATCAAAGCACCCACAGACCATCACATTGCCTCCACCATGCTTGACAGATGGCATCTGTAAAGTACACAGCATTGTACGAGATCTTCAGTTTCTTGGCAATTTCTCGCATGGAATAGCCTTCATTTCTCAGAACAAGAATAGACTGACGAGTTTCAGAAGAAAGTTATTTGTTTCTGGCCATTTTGATCCTGTAATCGAACCCACAATTGCTGATGCTCCAGAAATTCAACTAGTCTCAAGAAGGCCAGTTTTATTGCTTCTTCAATCAGCACAGGTTTTCAGCTGTGCTAACATAATTGCAAAAGGGTTTTCTAATGATCAACTAGCCTTTTTAAAATGATCAACTTGGATTAGCAAACACAACGTGCCATTGGAACACAGGACTGATGGTTGCTGATAATGGGCCTCTGTACGCCTATGTAGATATTCCATAAAAAATCAGCCGTTTCCAGCTACAATAGCCATTTACAACATGAACAATGTCTACACTGTATTTCTGATCAATTTGATGTTATTTTAATGGATAAAAAAAATTGCTTTTCTTTTTGAAAACAAGGACATTTCTAAGTGACCCCAAACTTTTGAACGGTAGTGTACATACATGCATCCAAAACCAAACCCCCCCTCCCATCTGCAGAGAAACAATGGAGTAGAGTTACTTTTGCATTGAGTTATCAGCCCCTGGAACCGAAGGGTTAGCTCAACATGCATTTCAAGACTTTCAACCCTGTAAAGAAAACGCCTGTAAATTACAGAGTGAATGCCTGGCCCAATAGCAGAGTATCACTGCTAGCCTTGTTGAGTACGTTCTCTGTCCTCTGTGTAGACAGGATAGGCAGGTTACCACTGATAAGCAGAGCGCTTCAGCATATAGGCATACACCCTGACAACCACATTTGACTGAGGAGGCAGACTAGCCTAAATAGTGTGCAGGTTTAGCTAACTTGCTCTTATCAACAGTGCAAGGCCTATATGCTCACATCCTGTATTTATTTACTGTGTTGTCTTTACTTGATGCCTTCTAACATTGCTTTTTGTATGTTGTAGGGTCAATACATTTAGACTAAAATGGGTTTTCCAGATAAACCACACTTTCTTACATTTGAATCGGTTTCTGCTCATAGAATGGTTATAAGCATAAAACAAACGTTAGGCCCAATACTTTATTGAGGAAGGATCTCCACACAGGACTTTACATGTGAATCTGATCACTAGCCACTAGCCTTTCCCCTGATTTTCCATGGAGTGCTGATCACATCCCCGAATGTAGGCCTACTTGATCTTAAAACTAAAACCTTAGTTGGTAAAACTGCCACGTCCGTTTGGGATATTACAACAACAAAGTAGTTACTGCAAACAATGAACACTGATTTTCTTCACTCTGACACCATTGCACGCGCGATAGATCTGTACTGCAAAAAGAACATTCCCGCTGCATGACACCCCTCTCCTCGGTTTCATCAACAAAACAAAAAACAATGGCAAAAGCGCTAGGGCGAACAATGGTGCAATGCGGATTGAAACTTGGTTTGCCAAACCTACCCTAGGGTGTTAGTTTGCCTATTTGTCGCGCCTTCTTCCCTCAGCCTCACGAGCCTGCAGACGATTGGTCCGAGCACATCAGCTCCTCGGGCAAGAAGTACTACTACAACTGCAGGACTGAGGTCTCTCAATGGGAGAAGCCCAAAGACTGGCTGGAGAGGTAAGGCCTTGAATCATGGAAAAAGTGTCACTCTCCTAAACGCCATACTCTTCTCCGCTTTTCCCTCAACCCTTCTGTTTCTACCCTAAAACTCAATACAGAATCCACAGCTGCGTGGCTGCCATAGTCTGGTGGCCCATTATAACATATTTACGAACCTAATTTCATTAATTGAACTATAGTAGGGCCTATAAAATCCCTGATGCGGAAAACACAGATGGAATCACTGAATCCAGACATTAAAACGGAATTCAACAATATTAAATGTATTGAGCTAATTTGAAAATTTACATTTTCCCAAATTAGTATTTTCAAGAATCAAAATGCATCAGTGATTAGTATTTTCCTTCAACCTTCTGTAGAGCAACATGGGAATGCCCCTTTATGTATGCGTGCATCTGTCTTTGTGTATGCCTAGCTGTTAGCGATGATGCTAATGACAACGGTCAACGATGGAAAGGCTTTCTCATAACTCTTCTCAACTAAATGTTCACCACAAAGTATCTTATGCCTACCTGGCAGAATGATATCATGATTATTTTAATCAATCCAGTGGCAATTTGTTTAGCAAACTATGCAATCACGTGCGCTACAGAAACACTGCTAACCAAACAAGTCTCGTGCTGTTGTTGATTTAAAGGTTTTTTCCAGATATCAAAAGTTGTCTCCTGATGTGGTTTAAGCATTTTTGTGGACTTGGAACACCCAATTTTGTTGTTTTTCTATTGAAATGATTTTGAGAGCGTAAATCTGAAAAAGCAGGGAACAATTCTAAACTGAAAAACCAAACAGAGAAAATTGAATTTAGGAAAAAACTGAATTAGGCAACAAATAAAACAGATTTCATATGGCCCTACTTTAGCATGCTAAAAGTTCCCAAAACGGAGATTGGTAGAGTACACATTCTGACCGAAGTCTGAACATGAAATTACATTCTGATGTGGAATTCAATCAGCAATTACACTCTGTTTAATTAAACCTGACAGTGACCTTGCTTTTATGTTTGTCATTGTGTCCAGAGAGCAGAGGCAGAAAGATCCGTCTAAGAGAGAGTCCAACACGTTCCCCAAAGACCGGGACTACAGACGAGAGTCTGTCGACACAGCCACCACAAGTGAGTATGAAAACTACAGAGGTACAGTGTATGGGGGGGTGTAGTCTGGGTTTCAGATGCAGCAGTAACATCTGGATTTTGACTTACCTGCCTCTTTAAAGAGTACCTTTTGTTGTGATATTATGATGATGCCTGTATGTGAAATCATCTACAGTCTTACAATATGGCCGTGTGTCAATAGTGAGAAGTGACTTATTTTCCTTGTGTCCTCTCCTTCTTCTGCACTGATCTGAAAAGACTTGACAATTGTATGCATTATGGCTATCACCTTTTCGATGTGTGCAAAAAGTAGACGAGGAAAGGAAGTCATTATGAACTATAGATGTGCATCCTATGTGTCCAAGCCAGTGTCCGCAGTCCTAACTTGTTCTTCTTTTCGCCCCACAGAGAGCACTTCAGGGGTCAAGTCCTCCTCCAACTCTGCTCCTTCCCAGTCCTCCTCTTCCTCCACCAATCCGGGCCTGAACCAAGCCTCTGGCTCTAACCCCACCCCCTCATCTTCCTCCTCCTCCACGGTCCCATTGTCCCCCTCTGTCCAATCCCAGGCCTCGGGCCTGCTCCAAGACCCCGCCCTCCTGCGGCAGCTCCTCCCAGCGCTGCAGGCCACCCTGCAGATGAACAACGGCAGCATGGACATGGCCAAGATCAACGAGGGTGAGTCGGCCAACACCACATTTCTCCTGCTTATTCTTTAGCTCACCAGTTGAAATGTAGATGAAGCATAGGTATCGTAAAAGAATTGGGGGGGGGGGGGGTGTAAAAAAAAACCTGCTGCTGTACTGAAATGTGAAACACACATTTGGTTCTCTGAAATTTTGAGTTATCAAATGACCACAAAACCAAAGTGGTTTTGATCTTCAGTCTGATATTTCAGAAGACATCCTATTTGGTTTGATTTCTAGAGTTTCTCTTACTCACACCAGATATTGAATAGGCTTAATACACGATATAGGGAGTAGCTTAATCGAGGCGAGGTTGGTGGGTCCTATTGTTGTGGATGAGCGATCCTGAGAAACTGGGTTCTTGCTTACCAAATGGGTTGTAAATACAAATCATCAAATTAAACCACCCCATTCAATGACAGTTTTGAATAGCCTATATCATGTCTGCTCACCTCTTTTCACTGTCACTCAACAACCCCTCTCCTTCTCTCTTGATCTTTGTTAATGTATGTGTATGGACCCATCTGTGTATGTGTTACATACATACATAAGTTTATTGTTGCCTTTATATCTCTGTGTTTGCTTGTGTGTATGTACAGTCGAAGTCGGAAGTTTACATACACTTAGGTTGGAGTCATTAAAACTCAATTTTCAATCACTCCACAAATGTCTTGTTAGCAAACTATGGTTTTGGCAAGTCGGTTAGGACATCTACTTTGTGCATGACACAAGTAATTTTTCCAACAGTTGTTTACGGACAGATTATTTCACTTATAATTCACTGTATCACAATTCCAGTGGGTCAGAAGTTTACATACACTAAGTTGACTGTGCCTTTAAACAGCTTGGAAAATTCCAGAAAATGATGTCATGGCTTTAGATGCTTCTGATAGGCTAATTGACATCATTTGAGTCAATTGGAGGTGTACCTGTGGATGTATTTCAAGGCCTACCGTCAAACTCATTGCCTCTTTGCTTGACATCATGGGAAAATCTAAGAAATGAGCCCAGACCTCATGGAAATCTAAAGCAACTAAGCCAAGACCTCATGGGAATCTAAGAATAAGCCAGACCTCAGCAAACAATTGTCGACCTCCACAATTCTGTTCATCCTTGTGAGCAATTTCCAAACTCCTGAAGGTACCCGTTCATACTGTACAACAATAGTAACGCAAGTATAAACACCATGGACCAGCACAATGACCATTGTTATGTTTGGAGGAAAAAGGGGGTAACTTGCAAGCCGAAGAACCCATCCCAACCGTGAAGCACGGGGTGGCAGCATCATGCTGTGGGGGTGCTTTGCTGAAGGAGGGACTGGTGCACTTCACAAAATAGATGTCATCATGAGGAAGGAAAACGTATGTGGATATATTGAAGACATCATCTCAAGACATCAGTCAGGAAGTTAAAGCTTGGTCGCAAATGGGTCTTCCAAATGGACAATGACCCCAAGCATACTTCCAAAGTTGTGGCAAAATGGCTTAAGGACAACAAAGTCAAGGTATTGGAGTGGCCATCACAAAGCCCTGACCTCAATCCTATAGAACATGTGTGGGCAGAACTGAAAAAGCGTGTGCGAGCAAGGAGGCCTACAAACCTGGTTACACCAGCTCTGTCAGGAGGAATGGGCCAAAATTCACCCAACTTATTGTGGGAAGCTTGTGGAAGGCTACCTGAAACGTTTGACCCAAGTTAAACAACTGTACAAACAATAGTACGCAAGTATAAACACCATGGGACCACACAGCCGTCATAAAAGTGGTGATCCTAACTGACCTAAGACAGGGAATTTTTACTAGGATTAAATGTCAGGAATTGTGAAAAACTGAGTTTAAATGTATTTGGCTAAGGTGTATGTAAACTTCTGACTTCAACTGTATCTGTATTTCTCTCATAGTGTGTCTGTTCTCCCTCTCCTCCAGTCCTCGCGGCTGCTGTCACCCAAGCCTCCTTGCAGTCTATGCTTCATAAACTCCTCACTGCTGGACCGTCTGCTTTCAACATCACTGCTCTGCTTTCCCAAGCTGCTCAACACTCCTCCAGCCAAGGTATGGCCACTGTCACACGTTCTCCCAATGTCACCTTTCTGGTGATCTTTTTGATACCTCTCTCTTTGTTAGCTAGACTGGTTTTACTGATTTTTTCAGTGTCTTGTGGTTGATAAATAGAGCTATGCCTACATTGCGCTCTGACATTTGCATTTTATTCAGATAGAAATACATTGTAAGCATTCTCCTATTAAATGTTTTCAGGGGAGCTGTTATTGTTAAAAGCTGTAACTGGAAGTGTTTGACTCATCTCTGAAGAAGGTGTATGGGCGTCCTTCAGTTCAGGGCAACATCTGGTAGTTTTCTGTTAAATAATCTAGAGAACTTTGCTATTGATGTATTTAACCAGGGTAGTCCTCTAAGCAAGGGTAGCCACTGCATTTCATTAAGTTTTGGATGCATAAGAAAAATAAAACCTTTTAAAATAACTGTCCTTGTAGGCATATTTATAATGTATACTAAACAAAAATATAAACACAATATGTAAAGTGTTGGTTTCATGACCTGAAATAAAATATCCTACACATTTTCCATGCACACACACAGCTTATTTCTCTCAAATTTTGTGAAGAAATTTTTTTACATCCCTGTTTGTGAGCATTTCTCCTTTGCCAAATAATCCATCCACCTGACTGGTGTGGCATATCAAGAAGCTGATTAAACAGCATGATCATTACACAGGTGCACCTTGTGCTGGGGACAATAAAAGGCCACTCTAAAATGTGCAGTTTTGTCTCACAACACAATGCCACAGATGTCTCAAGTTTTGAGGAAGTGTGCAATTGGCTTGTTGACTGCAGAAATGTCCACCAGAGATGTTGCCAGAGAATTTAATGTTAATTTCTCTACCATAAGCTGCTCCAACGTCGTTTTAGAGAATTTGGCAGTACGTCCAACCGATCTCACAACCGCAGACCACGTGTAACCACGCCAGCCCTGAACTTCCACATCTGGCTTCTTCACCTGCGGCATCGTCTAAGGGAGGGTGTGTGCTGAGGAGTATTTCTGTCTGTAATAAAGCCCTTTTGTGGGGGCCTCCCAGGCCCACCCATGGCTGCACCCCTGCCCAGTCGTGAAGATTAGGGCCTAATGAATTTATTTCAATTCACTGATTTCCTTATATGAACTGAAAAATCTTTGAAATTGTTGCATGTTGCGTTTATATTTTTCTTCAGTATAGTAATAACCTTTGTATGTGAGATTAAGGTTGCTCTTATAAAAAATATTTATTACTTTGTGCTATTCCCCTCCTGGACATGAACCAATAGCGGCCCAGCAGGCAAGTCCGTCGCCCATATCGCTAATGTCGGATGCCTCCTCGCCCCGCTCATATGTGTCGCCCAGGAACGGAACGCCCCAGACCAACCTCCTTAACCAGAAAACCCCGCTCAGCATGCCTCCCGCCTCCTCCCAACCAAAGGTCAGCACCTCCACGGAAACTCTAAACTTGTCCAATAATATTGTGTTATGATTGGGGGTGTATTGTTTTTTTGGGTGTAATTTTAACCCTGTGATCTCAGTGTTTCTGTCTTTCTCCCAACGTCACCATTCTTTTCTCTCCTTCCCTTTATCTTGCTTTAATTCTCTCTTTCTTACCTTGTTTCCTTCTTACTATTTCTTACACTCTCCCTTTTAATGACTTACTCTCTCCATCCCTCCCTCTCCCCTCTGTGCCGCTGTAGGTTACCCCAGTGAAACCAGGACCAGTTTCTCAACAGGCTTCAGCAGAGAAACATCCAGAGGATCCCCGAACCCTACGACAGCGGAGGTAGTTTGAAATTTGTGGAATGTTTCTTAGACACTGTGCTCTTTTACTTGCATGCTCCCACAATATAAATAGCCGGATGAAATGGAAATACAACAATCCTGTTTTGGATCCTTGTCAGAAGAATAGTATCACTCTGAGTGTGTAATTTTTGTGGACGAACGTCCTTACTCGTAATGCGTCATCTACCTTTGTGCACCTGACCTAGTTGATATGTAGAGGCACTTGTGTATATCTGGAAGGACTGGATGTATAAAAGCGATGGTAGTAGCCACTTATCCAAACCGTTCCAATCAACACAAGTGTCTAGGTGTTAGACTGGAGGTTGTTTCTGGATGGAGCCTTACTCTGTCCCTTTATACTACTCTGCTTTCTCTGTCGTCCAGCAGTCAGGGGAGTCCGCCATCAGGACCTAACGGCAACGCCACCGGCGGCCACTCGCTTCCCAACGCCGCGTCAGCTCAGACCAGCACTCCCGGCTCCTTCACTCCCTCGCTGGCCTCTCACTTTGATGAGAACCTCATCAGGCACGTCCAGAACTGGCCCGCCGAGCACATCGAGAAGCAGGTAGGATCTCCACTGTGAAGTGGGAGAACGGGATGATCAACATATGGGATTGTTGAGTTAGTAGTTTATGTGAATATCTGTCAACTATATGACTAAAAATGTTATTGGTTCAATGCAGTCATCATCGAAATAATACCACACTGTGTGGATATAACGGGAATACACAGAAGGTCATGTTAGCTGTTAAATTAAGATTTATGTGATAGCAACTTAGTAGTCATGCATTGATGTTAGTAGGATATATACGTAATTGAATTGTGTGCATATTATTACGTAACAGAAGTTTTAAATGGCATTTAGTCTAGATAGCCCTACCATACAATCACATTTCGTACCTAGATGGCAGTAGCTATACTCTCAAGGCCACACTCAGGCAATTTCCTATTTGGAGTTGATTGAATACGAAAAAGCGCAACGCTCGCTTTTCGATAATACAAAAGTTCGGTTACACTTGCTCATGGAGACCTGATGGACAGAAAAGGGACACAAATTCCTTTTTGGACCTTTTTTAATTATATTAAATAGTTAGCCATCACTTCAACTACAAAGAGCTGAGCTACCAAACACTGTTGGAGCTGGCCAGTTAGAAGCAGTAGGTAAGCTGCCTGCCTCAGCGTACACAGACAACAATGGTTCACTTCACTTCTATACATAGTGAGCGTAGGCTTTTCGGTAGTCAGGTTCATGTGTGTTTTGGTGCACTCCCTCAACCAGCTCCGCCTTTCTCTTTCAGGCAGCACGGTTACGGGAAGATGCCCACAACATGGGCAGTCTCTACATGTCTGAGATCTGCACCGAACTCAAAAACCTCCGATCATTAGTCAGAGTGTGTGAGATCCAGGCCACGCTGAGGGAACAGAGGTGAGAACAGGACAAGCGAACACACACACACACACACAACGTGTCATAATTGTCTTGTCTAGGAATTGCGTCTTCATGTCACACGATCAATTGCTGATTTTCTTAAAACTGGCCTTTTCTTTCTCCCAGGATACTGTTCCTTAGACAGCAGAGCAAAGAACTGGACAAGCTAAAGAACCAGAACTCTTACATGGTCTGAGAACCTGTGTGGGAGACGAAGGACGGTGAACTGCTTAAGAAGCCCGCAATGAGGTCCTCTATGCCCCAATGCGCCCTGGTCTGAACACTTCCCTAACGTCATGAACCAAAGGGCAAATGAGGAATACGGAAAAGAGACTTGGGCCTGTTGAAGACGTCATGGGTCAAGCAATGAAGCGTACTGTTGCCCAAGCCCCTGAAAGTGTAGATTTCGTTAGGCGTCCAAGATGTAAATTTTCGAGGCTAAATGAATGCGAAGCCTATTTGAGCTTTTCATGGACACCCAAACAAGTCGATTCTGAGGAACCTACAGGTCATACTTTTTCTTACCTGAGAAACTCAGCTGCTGCCTTTTGGAATCGTGAACTGTTGGACTGTGTTTGTTGTGCTGGAGAAACTGAGAGTCTGGCTTTTCCTCTGGAATAGCCAGTTTTGGTTGGGAATGCATACTTTTCTCCACTGACTTGTGGCTTAACTGAAGTTTCTAGCGTGAACTCAGATTGGCTTGAGATGTATGGATCACCAACTGATTCCAGGAAGAAGCAAACACGAACACTTCTTCAGCATAGACTTCAGCATAGACTTGAAGGAGTGCATCGCAAAGAAGATTCTTGAATGAGCCAACTTTATGATTCCTTCCAGACTCGTATAGTTAGGAATCATGAATCTAGCAGTCCCAGGATCAGGGGTTAATTATTTGATGGAAGTTGTCTGTCTGTCCATGCTCCCCGCTTTCCTGCTGGATGGAAATAGTCTGTAGACTTCCTAACTTCCCACCCCAACATGACAGTGACCCCTCCTCTAACGTTGGGCCAGGAGACTTCTCAGAACATACTGCCCCATGGAGTAACCTTCCGGTAACCTCCCAGTCCCTATAACTAACCCCTCAACAGGATCCTACAATAAAGGGCACGATTCTCATCCTCCACAACCTCGAAATACCCTCAGAAGCGCACCTGCATCTGAACCCCCATTTGCTCTGTACTTGATTATTTTTCCTCTCTCCTCTGAACTTTGATGTTTTGTTTTGTAAGCTTGTCTGTTTAGTCTATCTTGAGTCGGCAAAATAATTCATTCCTTATCATGTGCAGTTTCTTGCGAAATTGTGAAAGGGTCTTTAGTTTCACGTGGTTATGTAAACCTAAATTATTGCACATTATTAATTGCGTCCTTGTGAACAGGATGGCATATTTTCATGGGACTCCTCTTTCTCTTTGCTATACCAGCTAAGCCAGTACAGCACTAGTTAAATGGACTCCGTAGTTAACATTTGCTACATTTTGTTTTACCGAAGTTAAACTTTTTTAGGCCTCAGTAAATAAAGTAACTATTTTACAATTAAACGTTCACACGACAATGCTGTCTCACTCTTCCGGATCCACAAACTTAGCTATGCCCTCCTAAGACCCCGCCGATCGATCAGTGGCATACTGAAATTGGGAAGGCACCGGCCAAAGCGTTGGTCTGCAGAACTGGAGTGATGTACGCACTTATCAGATAGTGGGGGACCAGAGGTTTTTGTGAGGATGGGGCGAACATAGCTTTGTATATTATTTCTTTAAAGTATATCAGAATAAAATAAATTATTCTACCACAAATCTCTTGATATTCTCATTTTATTTGTTATCACTGTTATGTTGATGTTTGTAAGAAAGCAAATGCATTATTCCAGAGATTGTGGATAAAAACAAAATGGTACCTTTCCTCAAACTGCAAAACCTGCTGAAGATGACACCAAACACCCCAATCCTTTAAACCAGTGCCCCCTGCATGACAAAGCAGAATGTCACTTCTGTATGTTGTAAACATGCTCGTCATTTAATGATTGCTGCATGAATTCAGTAATGTTGAATACTTAAAACCTGCAAACAGAAGTACAGTTGTGCTAGTTCAAACATAATGCTCAGTTGCTCCCGTCATTGGGCACTAGATGGCGATATTCAGCTGGCAATGGCAATGATCACCCTATTCTGTTCTGTGGCTTGTCTTTCACATTTGTCTCCTAGATTCCCTTGAAGGCATTTAATTTAAATGTAGCATGTTTCTCAACAATGGTTACTGAATAGACTTCCCTGTCATTACTTCTCTTTCACTGCTGATTTCTATATTTTCAAGCTGTCTGAGCTCATCACAAGTTTTGCATTGTGATGTTCCTCAGAATTTAGATGGGTGGTTTTAATCTAGGTTGAAGATATCTTCAACCTACGTTTCAATCAGGAAATATGAATCCAATCAGTTGACCTCAGCCACTGGATACATGCATGAATAATGGCCCTTATTAATGATTTGATGGTGGCTAAAGCAATCAATCTGAGATTCTTTCATAAGCATTTACATTCTTCACTAGCAATTGTGTATTTATTTATTTATTTTTTATGATATGGAGCTATTTTTAGAGCACCGTGATTTCAAGGTTGAGGTATAAAATACATGTTCACATTTCTACTGTCTCTCATCGTGATCATTTAGTTGAGCCTTAGCAACAAAATGGAGTGGGTAGTGACGTAGAACATTGAACAGGAGATGGGTAGGTATTCATTTACCATTGGGGCCTTCGTAGGCAGATGTTATGGCCAGCATTCTGTCATTGATTTGTTGGTATTTTTCCTACTCAACGAATAAGTGTCTGTCAACTAGCAAATCAACACATATGCAAACCTCATGCCGGTCATGTAAACACTTATTATATCATGTTCCTGAACAAGGCACTTGTCTACTCAAGAAATGCCTCAGCGCACATCTATTGGTATTATTGACAGTACTCATGTGGAGCTGACTAGTCTCTTGTGGTTCCCTGACCATTTCAGTGGCCAAGAGTAGCATGATACTGTTTCAGTACTATTTAGCGCTATAGATCCTCCAGAATGAAGAGCGCTTAGTTCTAATTGGTCCATGAGCAAGTGATGCAATGTGCATGGAGGTCACCCATTGGCTCTGAAGGTGGATTCATCTAGAAGCCACTGCTCACATTACAACAATTTGCACTGATCTCCAGTTTCTATTTGTGCCTCAATGTTGGCATAGAGACAAGCACAGTGAAACTTCTGTGAGCATGTTTTTACTAGAATACAGATGTATTCAGTTTGGGGATTGTATCCACCAAGTAACTTTGTCCAATGATAAAGATAAAGATAAAAGAAAGTTGATCTTTAGAGTAAGTCAATATCCAAATAAATATTATCCTGATTCTATAGGCTATACTACTGACGAACCCTAACGACTGGTTGGCTAAATGGAAACCAGCAAATTGTCCAAAGGGTGACGGGCCTGCCACACTCCTGAAGTGTTTTGGACACACTTGCTCACACCTGCCCACGTCCCTATCGTAGCAGCCAAGCAAAACTCAGTTGCTGATCTCGTCAGCCATTTCACATCGCAGTGGTTTGTTATCTGACAAAGAAAGCATAGCTGACATTTTACATTTGCTATAACACATTTTATTATTTCACAGACACTGCCTAAATATGTGACACTGCCATAAAGCCATCTAGGCTGTTTGTCTTTGCACAAGTTATTACATCCAATACCAATTCAATACTTCATTTTAATGTCTCTTTTACGCTAGAATCCACCTAACAATTGAAGCGAAACATCTTATATATAGATATAGAACTAACATTTGAGAAGTTTAAAGCATTCTGTGCACCCTTTTAAAAACGTACTAATGTAAGAAACGACTTATACCCCTCCCCCCTCAGTCCCCAGCCAGAGGGCAATGTAGGCCTATAGAGCAGTCAGGAAAAGGTCGCTACAGCCTTCCCTACTCTATACATCACCCTTCAAGACCTGCATAAACCTCAGTGTCTACCAACTCCAACAGAGTGACGTCTCCTTCTTGCCTCCAACTCCCCCATGTCGGGATACAAAAGAAACCCGGAGAAGGTGGAGTCGTTAGTGTTGTCAGCATACACCCCCCCAAACTCCTCATCTCCGTAGATCTGCAGCCAAACCTCGTCCCCAGACTGCAGCCTCAGTATGAGGGCCCCCGAGGCCTGGTCCACGTTGCCCTCGTGGTACTGGTCGTAGGTGAACATGACGGGCTTGTCGTTCTTGAACAGGCTCACCCGAGCATCTTTAGTGTAGACTGTGAGGTGGTACGTGAAGAAGTAGACCCCGGGGAGGGAGCAGTGGAACTTTCCGCTCACGTCATCGTAGTGGTGCTGCTCGTTGTGGAAGAATTTGTTAAAGCGGATGGGCACGTTGGTGGCGGGGACGGGATCTGTCAGGCCCACGCTGAAGGAGGAGTGATACGACAGTGCGCTCTCACCCTGTGCCCCCTTCAGACCGGGGTTGCCCGGGAAACCGCGAGGTCCCGGAGCGCCGTTGTCGCCCTTTTCGCCGGTCTCTCCCTTCTCACCTGGTTCACCTGTACACACAAAGACGTCACCAGAGTCGGGGCGAACTTAGCAGCCTGTACTGGTGTTCATTGACTGTGCCTCATGCGGGTTACTGTGATTAGATTTACTGTGAACTTTGGATGATGTAGAGGCAGCACAGTACAGTTGGTCTTCTTACCTGTATCTCCTTTCTCTCCTCGAGGGCCATCGTGCCCATCTCTCCCATCTCTCCCTGGGTTCCCATTGTGCCCTGAAGTGCCTGGCACTCCTCCCATCCACATGGCACAAGGCTGCCGGTCATCAGTCGGGCCAGCTTCTGTCCCAGGACCCTCAGGCTCTGCCACCTCCGCCTCTTCATTGTCTGCAGCTGCCTCTTCTACAGCTGCCTCTTCCTCTTCTACTGCTGCCTCCTCGGCTGGTTCCTCTGCCTCTTCTCCATCTTCCTCCTGAGCCACGCTAAAGCCCCCGGCCAGCAGCATGCCCAGCAGCAGCAGGCTCCACAGTAGCTTCATGGCACTTTCTAAACAACCCCTACTGTAATAAACACACATCAGTATCACACAGGTTAGTGCTGTTCTGCGACCTCTCACTTTGGGTCAAGGCAAGGCCCCATGCCCAAGGCAAGGACTTGTATATAATGCAACATTTTTACGTCTGCTACACCAAAAAATGGGTCTGGACATGCGCTAAATGCTGGGAAACATAATTCCAGAGCACCCGACAGCTATTGATTGTAAGGCACACGCTGTACAGCCCTGTGGTTTTGTGCCGTACTTAACATCTAAATGAAAGACGCTATTGCAGTTAAGCGGCTAATGAACAAAAAGCTATACAGGCAGTATATGGTCCTCTGTAGCTCAGCTGGTAGAGCACGGCGCTTGTAATGCCAGGGTAGTGGGTTCGATCCCCGGGACCACCCATACACAAAAATGTATGCACGCATGACTGTAAGTCGCTTTGGATAAAAGTGTCTGCTAAATGGCATATTATATTATTATATAATGTAACTCATATAATGCCCTTGGCCAAAATCATTGCCGTCTACCAGCAAAGCTACAATACAACTTCAAAGAAAATAACTCAAAAGTATGTATGAAATAGGATTCAATTCCAAAGTAGGTTAATATCAATTTGGATCCAAAATGTTTACAGTGAATAGGTAAACAGTTGCCCCCTGGACAGTTGACCCCCTCTCCCTAGCGATAAGAACATCATCTGATCACATGTTTTGCCAATACCTGTAAACTTGCATCAGAGGTTACAGTCCCTTACCTTGTCTATGTTTTTCCCCCTCGGAGAGGAGAGTGTTCAGTGGCGTCCCCTAAGACGACTATCCTCACTCAGCGCAGCAGTGTGTCACAGTCCAGTTGTCCTGTGGCCAGTGTCCTTGGGGGACATGTGTAACTTATTACTGATTGCCTGTCACACTATATTTATCTCTGTCCTACTTTATTTATGGGCCCACTGATCCAAAAGGGCAGTGGGGATAAGAGAGCCCACTCCTCCCCTTAACCCTGGCTGTCCATTTTCTGACTCTCTGCCAGTCTGGTCACACTCACTTAAAGGGGGGGACTTTAGGTGACCGATTTCTCTCCAGAAACTGTGTAATCTCTTTTTTTTTTTTTTTACCTGGTGAAACTTTTGATCAACGAGGGCTAATGTTTATTTGTTGATGCAACATTTCATTGCCGTTTCAAATATGTGCGGCACAAAACGCCCTGACGTGAATCATCTCGTTCCCAAGACAACCGATACACAGCTCTCTTTGCCTGTTTGCCTTGTCATGTAGACATGGTGTTGTCAGACAAATGTAACACATTTGTGGTGGAAAATTGTCTTCTGAAAACATTTGTGTCATTGTCAGCTATTAACTGGACAGTTATTTGAAACATCTGAAATGTCAGTTTATTTGTTCTCTGTGATATCAATGTATTAGTAACTGAAAACTGAGTGTGTGGGGCTTTATAAAAATGTGGATACAAATCTCAAATTTACGACAGTCCTACCAGAATTTGTCATGACGACCTCAGAAATGATTACTCAGTCATCTGATTCACACCTAGAATAAGAAGCCTCAACAAATACAGGTCATGTTAGAGACATTTTACTTTGCCCCCTTACAGCCACCGTATCAGATACACTCCCCTACATACAGTGAGGGAAAAAAGTATTTGATCCCCTGCTGATTTTGTACGTTTGCCCACTGACAAAGAAATGATCAGTCTATAATTTTAATGGTAGGTTTATTTGAACAGAGAGACAGAATAACAACAAAGAAATCCAGAAAAACGCATGTCAAAAATGTTATAAATGTATTTGCATTTTAATGAGGGAAATAAGTATTTGACCCCCTCTCAATCAGAAAGATTTCTGGCTCCCAGGTGTCTTTTATACAGGTAACGAGCTGAGATTAGGAGCACACTCTTAAAGGGAGTGATCCTAATCTCAGCTTGTTACCTGTATAAAAGACACCTGTCCACAGAAGCAATCAATCAATCAGATTCCAAACTCTCCACCATGGCCAAGACCAAAGAGCTCTCCAAGGATGTCAGGGACAAGATTGTAGACCTACACAAGGCTGGAATGGGCTACAAGACCATCGCCAAGCAGCTTGGTGAGAAGGTGACAACAGTTGGTGCGATTATTCGCAAATGGAAGAAACACAAAATAACTGTCAATCTCCCTCGGCCTGAGGCTCCATGCAAGATCTCACCTCGTGGAGTTGCAATGATCATGAGAACGGTGAGGAATCAGTTCAGAACTACACGGGAGGATCTTGTAAATGATCTCAAGGCAGCTGGGACCATAGTCACCAAGAAAACAATTGGAAACACATTACGCCGTGAAGGACTGAAATCCTGCAGCGCCCGCAAGGTCCCCCTGCTCAATAAAGCACATATAAAGGGCCGTCTGAAGTTTGCCAATGAACATCTGAATGATTCAGAGGGAACTGGGTGAAAGTGTTGTGGTCAGATGAGACCAAAATTGAGCTCTTTAGCATCAGCTCAACTCGCCGTGTTTGGAGGAGGAGGAATGCTGCCTATGACCCCAAGAACACCCTCCCCACCGTCAAGCATGGAGGTGGAAACATTATGCTTTGGGGGTGTTTTTCTGCTAAGGGGACAGGACAACTTCACCGCATCAAAGGGACGATGGACGGGGCCATGTACTGTCAAATCTTGGGTGAGAACCTCCTTCCCTCAGCCAGAGCATTGAAAATGGGTCGTGGATGGGTATTCCAGCATGACAATGACCCAAAACACACGGCCAAGGCAACAAAGGAGTGGCTCATGAAGAAGCACATTAAGGTCCTGGAATGGCCTAGCCAGTCTCCAGACCTTAATCCCATAGAAAATCTGTGGAGGGAGCTGAAGGTTCGAGTTGCCAAACGTCAGCCTCGAAACCTTAATGACTTGGAGACGATCTGCAAAGAGGAGTGGAACAAAATCCCTCCTGAGATGTGTGCAAACCTGGTGGCCAACTACAAGAAACGTCTGACCTCTGTGATTGCCAACAAGGGTTTTGCCACCAAGTACTAAGTCATGTTTTGCAGAAGGGTCAAATACTTATTTCCCTCATTAAAATGCAATTCAATTTATAACATTTTTGACATGCATTTTTCTGGATTTTGTTGTTGTTATTCAGTCTCTCACTGTTCAAATAAACCTACCATTAAAATTATAGACTGATAATGTCTTTGTCAGTGGGCAAACGTACAAAATCAGCAGGGGATCAAATACTTTTTTCCCTCACTGTATTTATTTGGACAGTGAAGCTAAAACTTTTAATTTGGCTCTATACTCCAGCAAATGTTTTATACAGTGCAGAATGTCACCTTTTTATTTGAGGTTATTTCCATACATATGTTTTTAACATTTAGAAATTAATGCACTATGTACAGTGCGGAAAAAAAGTATTTAGTCAGCCACCAATTGTGCAAGTTCTTCCACTTAAAAAGATGAGAGAGGCCTGTAATTTTCATCATAGGTACATGTCAATTATGACAGACAAATTGATAAAAATGATTTTTTATGAATTTATTTGCAAATTATGGTGGAAAATAAGTATTTGGTCACCTACAAACAAGCAAGATTTCTGGCTCTCACAGACCTGTAACTTCTTCTTTAAGAGGCTCCTCTGTCCTCCACTCGTTACCTGTATTAATGGCACCTGTTTGAACTTGTTATCAGTATAAAAGACACCTGTCCACAACCTCAAACAGTCACACTCCAAACTCCACTATGGCCAAGACCAAAGAGCTGTCAAAGGACACCAGAAACAAAATTGTAGACCTGCACCAGGCTGGGAAGACTGAATCTGCAATAGGTAAACAGCTTGGTTTGAAGAAATCAACTGTGGGAGCAATTATTAGGAAATGGAAGACATACAAGACCACTGATAATCTCCCTCGATCTGGGGCTCCACGCAAGATCTCACCCCGTGGGGTCAAAATGATCACAAGAACGGTGAGCAAAAATCCCAGAACCACACGGGGGGACCTAGTGAATGACCTGCAGAGAGCTGGGACCAAAGTAACAAAGCCTACCATCAGTAACACACTACGCCGCCAGGGACTCAAATCCTGCAGTGCCAGACGTGTCCCCCTGCTTAAGCCAGTACATTTCCAGGCCCGTCTGAAGTTTGCTAGAGTGCATTTGGATGATCCAGAAGAGGATTGGGAGAATGTCATGTGGTCAGATGAAACCAAAATAGAACCTTTTGGTAAAAACTCAACTCGTCGTGTTTGGAGGACAAAGAATGCTGAGTTGCATCCAAAGAACACCATACCTACTGTGAAGCATGGGGGTGGAAACATCATGCTTTGGGGCTGTTTTTCTGCAAAGGGACCAGGACGACTGATCCTTGTAAAGGAAAGAATGAATGGGGCCATGTATCATGAGATTTTGAGTGAAAACCTCCTTCCATCAGCAAGGGCATTGAAGATGAAACGTGGCTGGGTCTTTCAGCATGACAATGATCCCAAACACACCGCCCGGGCAACGAAGGAGTGGCTTCGTAAGAAGCATTTCAAGGTCCTGGAGTGGCCTAGCCAGTCTCCAGATCTCAACCCCATAGAAAATCTTTGGAGGGAGTTGAAAGTCCGTGTTGCCCAGCGACAGCCCCAAAACATCACTGCTCTAGAGGAGATCTGCATGGAGGAATGGGCCAAAATACCAGCAACAGTGTGTGAAAACCTTGTGAAGACTTACAGAAAACGTTTGACCTGTGCCATTGCCAACAAAGGGTATATAACAAAGTATTGAGAAACTTTTGTTATTGACCAAATACTTATTTTCCACCATAATTTGCAAATAAATTCATAAAAAATCCTACAATGTGATTTTCTGGATTTTTTTTCTCTCATTTTGTCTGTCATAGTTGACGTGTACCTATGATGAAAATTACAGGCCTCTCTCATCTTTTTAAGAGGGAGAACTTGCACAATTGGTGGCTGACTAAATACTTTTTTCCCCCACTGTATCTAGTCCCCCCATAGAGTACCACAGTATGAATCATAATACCCATAAAACCTAGCCGTCAGACAAGGAAATAGTTCCAATTGTTTTTCCACCATTCATGGAAAAACGATTGGAACCATTTCCCTGTTTGACCGCTAGGATATATGGGTATTATGACACCACCACTGTGGGGCTCTATTTGAAGGTGTCATAAGTATTTGGACAAATTAACTTAGTGTATTACATTTAGTCAAGTATTTTCTTCCATGTTCCTAGCAAGCAATAACTACATCAAGCTTGTTTTTTATTTTACCTTTATTTAACTAGGCAAGTCAGTTAAGAACAAAATCTTATTTACAATGACGGCCTACACCGGCCAAACCCGGACGACGCTGGGCTAATTGTGCACTGCCCTATGGGACTCCCAATCACGGCCGGTTGTGATACAGCCTGGAATCGAAACAGGGGATCTGTAGTGACGCCTCAAGCACTGAGATGCAGTGCCTTAGACCGCTGCGCCACTTGTGACTCTACAAACTTGTTGGATGCATTTGCAGTTTGTTTTGGTTGTGTTTCGGATGTTGTGCCCAATCTTAAATAAATGCTAAATACTGTCTTGAGTCACCTTTATTGAAAATAAGAATGTAATATGTTTCTGAACACTTTACGGATAATCATGAATGAATCGTGAATATTGAGTGAGAAAGTTACATATGCACAAAGAACATGCTAACCTCTCACCATTACAAATAACAGCAGAGGTTAGCATTTTTGGGGGCGGGGTATGATATTTATGCGTCTAACTTTCTCACTCATCATTCACAATTCATTCAGGACTATCTGTAATCATGGTACCATCTATATGAATGTAGAAGTGTTCAGAAACATTCTATTCTTATTTACAATAAAAGTGACTCCAAAATGACACAATACATTATGACACTACATTAGCCAAGTAGC